TGGAAGGAAGGAAGGAGGGAGGGAAAGCAGGAGGATGGAAGGTGGGAAGGAAGGAAAGGAAGGAAGGAGAGATGGATGGAAGGAAGGAAGGAAGGAGGGAGGGAGGAAGAGGCCAGTGTCTCCTTTCCATCCAGCACCCTTCACTGCTGCTTGGTGGAACTGACTCTTACATAACCTTACATAACCAGTTGCTTGTCTGTGCCAGTATCTGACGTCTGCTCACCCTAGCTGATCTTTAGTGGATTGCTTAGGATTCGCTGTGATCCTGTCATCTGTGAACACAGACTGCATCTTTTTTCCTGATCTGGCTATTTTTCATTTCCTGCTGGACTGCTTGGCTGGACCTGGTACTAGTGGACACCCCATCCTGCTCTGGGGCTTGTGAGGCCTTCATTCTTCTAGAGTGGTGTTAAAGGTTTGCAGGTGCTTGGCTGAAACTGTGGAGTGGCCACGTGGCCTTGGCTTTTCCTCTGATGATGTGGAGACCATTGGCTGACTGTGTGCTGAGCCACTCATAAATTCCTGGTGGTGTGTTAAATGCTTCTGTGTGTTGCCAGGTGCTGTTTGCTCTAGGTGGGAGGGTATCTTGTGTCCATGTCATAAAGATGTGAGAGTGCAGTTTTGTGGCTACGACTTGGGACTCAGGGTAATAATGACTATAGGACGTGAGTGGGGAGGAGTTCCCTTCTACTCTGTTCCTTACATGAGTTTGAGAAGGATTTGCATCGAGTAGTCATCTGGGCATAGGGGTTTCTCCCGGGAAGATCTGAATGATGAACTCACACTCTGATACATGCAGGCCTGCTTTGTTTCTTCCTGCAGCAATGGCGGTTGCTTGTCTGTGCCAGTATCTGTCCACTCCCTTGGTTTCCCCACTGTAGGAGTGCTGCTCCCCTGCGGGATTCTGTCCATTCCCTCCATTTCCCCAGGTTTCTCCTGGTGGAGATTCATATGAGTGATTTTAGCGAGTGATTTCAGTGATTCCCATTTCCTTACAAATTTCTTCTGTGACCCTGTGTGTTTATGAGCATCTGCAACTTCCACCTGTTTGTGAATTTCTTGAGTTTCTTTTGGACGTTGCCTTCATTCTGTGGCATTTGTAGACCATCCTGTGCTGCCAGGCGCCGTCGGGTCTCTTCTGGAGAGCAGTCCAGGCTGGCTTGGGAGGGTGTGCCCGAGTGTTACAGAGCTGATACAGCTGTTTGAGTTGTCTTCCTTCCTTTCCCTTGTGGTTTTCCTGGTGTTCTGGGGTGTGCTGGTGGGGTGTGCTTGGTAGGTGCTGTCTCCATGGAGAATGACCCTGTCTCTAGTAGTGCTTTTGTTTCAAGCCTACTCTGGTATTGGTGGAGCCATGGGTTTGTGTTTGCTGTTTGAGTCGTGTATCTTTTTCTGTTCTTTTACACGTTTTTGTATCTGAATCTAAAGGGCATCCTCTGTAGACAGCACATAGGTCTTTAGGAAGTTTATTTTGGCATTCTGATTGCTTATTTGACTCACAGATACCGTTGATGTTTGAATTCATATCTGCAGTTTTCCTTCTGCCTTTGAAGTGCCTGGGTGTTTGCAGTTTCTTTTGTAACATTTTAATTCTCATGTAACATTTTAATTCCTTTAGTGATTTTTAGCTACATGTGAGAGTTACTTTCTTGGTAGTTGCTCTGAGGATTGCAGTATGCATTTTAACTCTCCAGAATCTACTTCAAACATAGCCCAGACTAATTTTAATGAGATACAGAAACTTTGCTCCTGTGCAGTTACTCCCTCTGTGGGAGATGAGGCTACACATTGTGTCCAGGTAGGTCACGCACCTAATGGTGCAGTGTTCTGACTGCTGCTTTATGTGGCTACACGTCCTCAGACATGAAGGCATGAGGGAAGAGAGAGAGCAGTTGTTGGTCTTCTGTGTCAGCCCTGCTTGCTCTGCCTCTTCCTTGTCCTCACTGTTAGAGTGACTGCCTCAGTCATCTTTCCAGAACACTCCAGCTGCCCACCTTGGGTGCTGGTGTCGAGGACCTCATGTGTCTGCAAAACAAGTTCAGGTTCTTTTCTACAGCTGCTCTTGAGCCGTGGGAGGAAAGCAGCACCTGTGCTTGTCTTTGGGGCGGGACTGTGGGTGCTGGCTCTCCCTGCGTGCTTCAGAGGCTTTCCTTCCCTGCAGGTGGGCCTGTTGACAACAGACAGTCCCCTTCCTGTCCTCTGGGGATTTTGTTCTCTTCGTTCTCTGGTTTTATCTTGCCCTCCTTTAAGCACAGGGGTTTTGCAGTGTAGACCGGGATTGATGATGCCTTCTTTCTGGTGCCTGGCCAACTGCCTGGGCACTGCTGCTGCTGCTGCTGAGAAGCCTGCGGTGACTCTCATTGGTGCCCTCTCAGGGGACTCCATTTCCCTGTTCTGTTTTCAGGACCCTGGGTTTTTACTGAGTGTCAGCATTGAGACCGAAGTGTGGGTGTGGCTGTCTGGGTCTGTCGGGGTGTGCAGGCCAGTGTTCTCTCCTCGGCTGCTCCTCTCTCTCCTCCCAGCAGCATGCCTGTCGTATGTGCAGGACTGCCACTCTTCCTCTGTCTCATGCTTTGGGCTATGTCATCTTCAGTGATCTTTTTTTTTTTTTAATATTTAAAAAAAATTAAATATTTTTATTACAATTTTATTTTTTTTTTGAGAGAGAGAGAGAGAAAGAAAGAATGTTTTTTTTAATATTTATTTTTCAGTTTTCGGCGGACACAACAACTTTGTTTTGTATGTGGTGCTGAGGATTGAACCCAGACCGCGTGCATGCCAGGCGAGCACGCTACCACTTGAGCCACATCCCCAGCCCCACAATATCATTTTTATTTTATTTATTTATTTTTTATGTGGTGCTGTGGTTCGGACCCAGGGCCCCACACATGCTAGGCGAGTGCTCTGCCACTGAGCCACAGCTCCAGCCCCCCGCGATCTGCCTTTAAGGTCATGCTCCGCACCAGCTCCGTCTGCTGCCTGGTGCTGGCCGAGAGCCTCTGTGTGTGTGCTTCACCTGGACTCCCACTGGTTCTCCTCATCCTTTCTACCCCTTTATTGATGCTGTTGTTGGGTGCCATCATCGAGTGCCCTTTAAGTCTTTACGTTGCTGCAGTGTCCTTGGGTTCTGTGCACATCTGCCGTGACTCTCTTGAAGGCTTTTTTTTTTTCCCTGCAGAGTCCAATGCCTCCCCCAAGGCTGTGGGTCCTGCTTTGCTGCTGCTCTCTGCTCTCTGTGCAGGCTACCTTTTCCTGTTCCTTTGTGTATCTCTATTTTGGATTGTTGCAGATGGACACTTTAGGTGGACGTTGGGGCAGCTGTGGACACTGACCCGGGCCGGGGAGGTTGCTGGCTGTCCTCTGGTTGGGGGATGGGCCTCTGAGTCCTCCTGTCGGTCTGCTGTGTGCATGGGCTCCTGGGTGGTCTGCCCCCCAGCGTCTGGGGCGCTGCACTCCTCCCACTGCAGCCATTGCAAGGTTGATTTGGGTGGTAACTGGGCAGGTGCTGCCGTGCTTCAGGCTGGTCTTTGAGGATCGCCCTGTCCTGGGAGGGCTCTTGCTGGCTGTGCCTCTCCTGGTCTGTGTGGTAAACTGAGCTGGTTCTAGGGCCTCCTTTCTCTTGCTTGCCATGCAGACCCTCCTGTTCCCAGGCTGCCCTGCTTCACTCTAGTCCCCACCCTTAGCGAGAGCATGGAGCTTGCAATTGATTACCCTGCTCATGGGGCAGAATCTTACACCCCTGCTGTGGAGCTGGCCAGGGCAGTGGTGAGTTCCTGAGATGACCCCTACCCTCAGAACACCTGGGGGCCCTCTGGTCTCTTCGGCCTGCACACACTGGTATGAACCCTGTGAGCAAGTCAAGGCCAGGATGGGTGCTCAGTTTTTCTGCCCTGTGAGTGGGGCTGAGAGGCAGTAGCAGAAGGGATGCTGCTGCTCTTGGCAGCCATTGCCCTGTGCAGGTGATGGGGTAGAGGGAGCCTGCTATCTTGGCTGGACACCGGAGTGGTGCTTTGGTACACGGTACATGGGGTGGGGCGCACGTCATGGCCCAAGGCACACAGCTCTTCCCACTGCCGCAGTCTGGCTGGGCATAAAATAACCGAGCCACCACAAAAGCCTTGTAGATTCAAACAGCAATTCTTTATTCCCGAACTCTCACCGGCACTCTACGTGCATGCACGTTCTGGGGAAAATACACCCTCCACCGGGCTCTGCGTACCAAATACTCTCTGAATCCAGTGAGAACTCAATGGAAACTCAAGGAGCAGGTGCCTGAGGCAGCAGGATACACCCTATTCCCAGCAGAATCCACCCTAAACCTGGACCCACCCTAATCCAGCAGGATCCTCCCTAAACCCAGATCTGCCCTAATCCCTGAGCAAGGTCATTTTTCAAGACAAAACTCTCAAACATTCATGCAATGTCACTGCAAATGACCTGGTGTAATCGGAGGAAGAGACCACCAAGAGACCAACTCATGCAACAGCAAAAGGGGTTTATTGCAGATCCAGCGCGCTGGGGCTCCGTGCCCACTCGAGAAGGGAGAACGGCCAAGACCCCCGAGCAGGGGTTGAGCAGTGCTTAAGTACACTTTTTTAGGGAGGGCAGGGACTTTACATACATCACAGTCTCCTTTAACAAATCACCATACACCACGGGAAAATCAAACAACAACTCTCAAACATGATTAGTACATTCATTGGTGGGAACAGGTCGGGCGGGAGTGGTAGGTCAGTCCTAAGGAGGGGATACATTCAAACTGAATGCATCCTGAATGCCTACGTGCCAAACTGCACAGGGTCCAGGTTATTTAGCAACTAAATGGTCAGTACCGGGCATTGTCTTAACTGCCTCAGGAATTTCAGGTTCTGTGTGCAGTTCAGAAACTTTACAATACCTGGTCCTTTACATTTTAACTCAGGCTTTGCAGCTTAGAAACTTTACCCTTTCACTGGGTCCAAGGCAAGCCCATTTCCACAATGGAGAGTCCTCCCTCTAAGCAACATGGGGTAGGCGGACCAGGAAATTGCCATGCATCATTCCTACTTGGCTATGGCTCTCAGCATCCCACCACCATTTAGAAGGTTCTCTGGGGAACGTCTGCATGTGCTGATGTCCAGAGACCTCCTGTGTGGCTGCCTGTGGCACTTAGCAGCCATGGTGTGTGTGACCCTTGAGTCCTGTTCTGGTAGTGCCCACTAGACTGCTGTCTTCAACCTGAAACCCAGGTCAGAGACACACTAGCCTTCTGGTCCACTGTGGCAGCAGGGATGATCTCAGCAGCTTGAGGTTCTGTGGTGGTTTGTGTTGGGCAGCTTGGGCACCATTCCAAGTTCTGCGGTTGAAGTGGGCAGCCCCAAGGCCTGGCTGGCCTCCTGGGGTCATTTCTGCTGCACGACAGCATGCTGCTCAGGCCACACTGCTCAGACTGTGGCCCGTCGGCTGGGGTGGCACCAGCTGGCTCTGCAGGGCAAAGGTGCCAGGACGGGACAGGGTGGGGGCGAGGAGAAAGAGGGCAAGGCTCCTGAAGTGAGGGGCCACAGAAGGCACCAGATCACTGCAGCCTGAGAGGGGTCTCCTCTTTCGGTCCCTGGCTCTTCCTCACAGTGACGTGCAGCCTTAGATTGGGGCTAGCACGCTGCTTGGCAGTTGCCATGTCCTGTCTGACCTGGGGCCTGAGAGCTCTTGGTCCTGGGTCTTCTCTGGAGCCGCCCTGGTGGTTCAACATGGGCAGTGCCAGCCCCTGGTCACTTGGAGTCCATCACTGGGAATGGCAAGTCTACATCTCTGTCCTTCCCATGTCTGCTGCAGGAGAGGCTGGTGCTGGCTCGGGATCATGGACACAGGAGGCCAGCAGGCCATTTCTGCCCCTTTTGCAGCAGGTCCTGCTGCTGTCTGCATTGGACTCTCTGGCTATACTTGACTTGGCACTGCCCCGTGCAAGGCTCAGGCCCACATCCCTCAGAGTCCCTCCAGGTGAGGCCTCTGTGCCTGAGCCCTGTACCACCCATGCTTGGGCCAAGTCCACCATTCTCACTGGGCTGTGGCCGCAGGGGGCTAAGTGGTGGCTGTGGGCAGAGCTGACCCTACAGCTCTGTCCCTGCTCAGCTGGAGTCAAAGGGAGATACCGTGGGGCAGCTGGAGCAAGGCCATGTGCCTGTCTGACCAGGTGGGGAAGCAAGGGGAGCTCTTTGATGGGTTTCTCCCTGAGAACTGGTTTTTATTTTAAAACATATTGAAATAGGTTAACATGGAAATACCATTTTTTTTAACTATTTGAAAATAATCATTTCCTAAGCTCAGGGAAATTCCTGTTGACCTCTGCAGGAGACCTGGTGTCTCAGGAGAGGGCCCGTCAGAGCACCAGTTATTTTTAAAAATAATTTTTAGTTATAGATGGAGGCAATGTCTGTATTTTGTTTATTTTTATGTGGTGCTGAGGATCGAAAACCAGTGCCTCACGTGTGCAAGGCAAGCGCTCTGCCACTGAGCCACGACCGCAGCCCGCACCATGTATTCTTGTCTCCTGGCAGCCCAGGACCCTGGTCAGCTCCCACCTTTTCTAACTTTGGCTCATTGGGCTTGGTCAGACTGCTCTGTGGTGGGTCCCTGGAGGGTGTCCTTCATGGGGCCTCCCCTAGTTGGGGAGCGCTCTTCACATCTGGTCCTCGCCTCGTGCCAGATAGCCCCTTAGACGGCACCAGCCTCCCGGCTTCGGGGCGCCTGTGGGATGGGGGTTGGGAGCTCTGGCAGGACCCCTTCTCCAGAGCCTCCATGCCTGGAGCGCGGGATCCGCTGCGCACACAGCCCCAAGTGGTGCGGCTGTACGCGCGGGTCCCTCCACTCTTTCCAGTGGCTTTTGGCCTCTGAACACCGCGCCGCTGCCCCGCAGCAGGGGCTGAGGAGAGAACCCCTCATCCTGTCCTCCACTAGCTGCTCCCAGGGCCATGAGAAGGCCTCTGCTCGACGTGGCCTGGACCCGCCGCACGAGGGCGCCCGTCGACCGCCGCAGGACTGCCGCCGACTCTGGTTGCCCGTTGGAAAATTGCGCTGTCACGCTGTTAGGTGTCACTGCTGGTGCCTGGCCCCAGGGCCCAGCCGCAGGCGACCACTTGTGAGGGTCGGACTCCTGCCTGGACCTGGGTCCTGACTGCTCCCCACGGTTGAGAGGCAGGGTCTCTGCCACTCTCTTCTTTGAGTGGACAGATGCAGTCTTCCATTTAGAGAACTGCCTGCCAGTTGCAGAGCTGCAGAGCTGTGGGTTGTGGGGGGTCCTGCAGTACTGCCGACCCTAGTCCTCTGGGTCCCACAGGGCGCCCTGTGCAGAGGCAGGAGGTGTGGGGGACACCAAGGCCCTCTGTAGCTGGTCAGAGCTGCTCTGCAGGGACCAGCAACCTCCTCCCCCTTTCGACTGTGATGTTCATGATTTAAGAAAATGGATAGGTCCCTACCCTGAGCCTGGGAAGGCTGTGCCCTGTGGAGGTGGAGGCCCCCCTAGCTGGCCTCTGTTCAGGTGCCCCTCTTCAGGGGAGTGTGGGAATGCTGGGGGAGGTAGGAGTGGCCCTAGCCCCCACCCTCGTTGGTGTGTTCCTCCTGTGTGCCCAGGATGGGCCTGGGGACCTAGTGCCTGCCTAAAGCCCAGGTTCCTAGAAGCCCCCTGTGCCAGGAGCCGCCCAGGAGGTGCAGGTGCATCCTGAACATGGCCAAGGCTCTACCAGGAGTAGCTTCCTGTAGTCTGCCTTTCCCCACAGTAACCCTGACCTGCTCATGTACCTGTCCCCAGCCTGTCACCTGGTTCCTGTTCCCCTGCTGACTTGGACCTGGCCGGCTCAGCTCCCGTCTCCCTCCTTACTTGCCCCGACCTGCTCACCTGGCTGAGTAGCTCTCTCCCTCTTGCCCTAGATTTTGACCCACACCACTTCTGGCATTGGAGCAGCTTCGGGGACTATGTGCAGTGTGTCCTGGCCTTCACTGGTGTGGCGGGCTATGTCACCTACCTGTCCATCGATTCGGCCCTGTTTGTGGAGACTCTGGGCTTCCTTGCAGTGCTGACCGAGGCCATGCTGGGCGTGCCACAGCTGTACCGAAACTACTGCCACCGCTCCACAGAGGGCATGAGGTAGGGGCACGTGCGGAGTGTCTGTGGCACCGTGAGCTGCAGATGGGCATGGGGGCATTGAACACAGGGGTCTTGGCTGTTCCGAGCAGGTATTTCAGGTGGCAGGGCTGGAGGAAGTGACCGTCTGTCAGGGGATGAAGAGCTCTCTTAGGCTGTGGAGAGCTGGAGTGGCAGGTGCCAATGGCACAGGATGGGCAGGACAGACCCTGCCCACAGAGCAAGCAGGTAGTCAGGGCAGATAACCCTCAGTGGCGCATTGCCTCCTGCTGCTGATCTCCAGGTGGAGGTGAAGGATCTGTTATCAGACAGGGCTCGACTGAGGGTGCTGCTTGCACCTGGCAGGACAAAGCCCCATGTGACCGACAGACCCCAGGTGATGGTAGCATCAGGGGATGGGTACCTGGTGAGCTCCTGGCAATCCCCACGTGTTCACTGGAGACTCTGGAACAAAGCAGTTTGTCGGAAACACATCACCTGGTGGGGAGGGGCGAGGACGCAGCTTGCTGAGTAGCTCAGCACCTGGTCTTCCCAGAGGACCCCGCCCCATGCCTTCTTTGAAGACCCTGCCCACTCCTCACTGAAGACACCCCAGTCCCCACTCTTGCTCAGGTATTACCCACCGTCAGATCTATTTTATTTCTGAGAAAACAGAATTGGTGGAAGGGGAACCAAGTGGACTTTCCCTGGTTTAAGGAGTGGCCCAGGATGGGATGGAGGTGGGGCTTGGTGCACAGATGGAGGTGTGACCTGGGTGGGGGGTGCAGGTGTGCTCAGGGCTGAGGGGTGTTAGTGCAGATCTGGGCTCTGGCCTGCTGCAAAGCTTTGGAGGGGCCAGTTGGCCCATGTGACCACCGCGAATCCAGACTGCTGGGGTAGCCAGAGCCACAGGTTGGCCGGGAGGCTTCCTCACCGTGGGGCTGGGACCATGAGGACCCAAGGCTCTGGTCAGCGGTGATGCCACCCCCAGGAGCCAGACGGGAGAAGGAGGTGTGCAGAGTGGCTGTGCCCACTCTGGGTATACACATGGGGCTGGAACCATGAGGACCCAAGGCTCTGGTCAGGGGTGATGCCACCCCCAGGAGCCAGACGGGAGAAGGAGGTGTGCAGAGTGGCTGTGCCCACTCTGGGTAAACACATGGGGCTCGTGGCAAGTGGCTGTGGAGCTGGGTCTGGGCTCGTTTATGATGTGTGTGTACACATGTACCCTCGTGTGAATACATGCACAAAGGCACCCATACCACATGTGTGCAGAGAGGAATGCACATGCAGGAGTGCGTCTGGAGACATGGTCTGACCTACATGCACACACAGACTTGTACATACTTTGTATATCATGGAGCAACTGCTAGAGTTTTTTTTGAATAATGTTTTTCCTTTTGAAAAATATGAAGATGTTGTGGGTTCAGTGCCAATTATAGGAAATGATGAGCCTTTGAAAAGACGTTACTAATTAGTGCAGCAACCTGAAAGGCAGATTCTGTGGGGATATTATTTGCATTTGACTTCCTCCAGTTTTTATGAGATTTGAAGACTGTTCCCTAACAAGTAATTATTGGAGTGGGAGTGGGATTTTGTAAGAGATAAGAGGGGGCTGAGCATTCCAAGACCTTCAACAGAGGAACGGGTTATTGTTGAAGAATGGAAAGGGCTGTGTGGGGAAGGCATCCAGGCATTCGAGTGCAGAACCTGGAGGTAGAGATGGTGCAGGCTGGAGGGAGGTGCAGGTGCCCATTGCAGGGCCACAGTTAGTGACCATGGAGGCTATGTGAGGAGGAGGAGACCAGAAGCAGCAGGTGCAGGTCACCCTCCTCGGCCATGCTGTTCATCTGGCCACTCTGCCGAATCCAGCAGGACTCTGGGCTCTCGCCATTGAGCTGCATGCACCCAGAAGCTGGATTCTGTGTCTGATCCCACATGGGCCTCGTCTTGGTCTCCTGAGCAGACCACTTGGATCTGCAGCCTTTTGGGAAGTAGAGCATTTCCCCCTAGAGCACATCTGCCTCATCCTCAGACCTCCGCCTAGCGCTTGGTGACAGCTGTGAGTGGAAGGTGCTCTGCAGGCCCATGATGACCCCTCACACAAAGCCCACGGCCGCCCTCTGACAAGGGGCTGGGACACTTTAGAGCTGGCCTGTGCCATAATCCAGCGTACCTCAGTGGCCTCAGCAGAGCACTGTGTCCAAGGATTAGGTACCGTCCTCAGGCGGCAGCTGGTTTGTCCGCCCCAGCTGGCCCCACCAGCCACGCCGGTCTCCTGACGGTGGCTCTGGAGCTGTGCAGTTGCCCAGCATGGTCCCGTGCCGGCTCCTCTCAGGCAGCAATCTTCAGGGTCCTCGGAGACCTAGGTGTGTTAGTGCCATTGCCGTCTATGCTGTGACATCATCTGTGCAAACACCACGTGTGGCTCAAGCACACTCCAGTTCACGGGCACCCGGTGCTCAGCCACCGCAGGCTCTTTGGAACAAAGTTGCCCTGAACATCCGTGTGCGGGTTTTCATGTGGACTCATGTTTTCCCCTCTGGGGCAGAAGGTGGGCCTGCGAGGGCTGGATCACGTGGTGACTGAGGGCTGAGGGAACTGCCACCCTGTCTCTCTGGTGGCTGCACCACCTCATGTCCCTGCCACCCTGTGAGGTGAGGTCCTCGTGCCCCTCCAGCCTTGTCTGTGCCTCTGGCCACTGCGGCAGGCATGTGGGGTGTGTCGCTGCGGCTTCAGTTTGCATTTCCACGGTGGCCCTGACGTGGAACATCTCTTCAAGTGCATGGGTGCTTCCTTCTTGGAGAGTGTCTACTTGGCTCTCTGCGTTTTGTAAGTTGGTCGTGTGGTGGTTTTTATTACTGAATTGTAAGAGTATATATTCTAGATAGTCAACCTCACCAACTGTATGATTCACAAATATTTCCCCCACCATTCTGTGGGTGGTCTTCTTGCTTTCTTTCTTTTTTTTTTTAAAGAGAGAGTGAGAGAGGAGAGAGAGAGAGAGAATTTTTAATATTTATTTTTCAGTTCTCGGCGGACACAACATCTTTGTTGGTATGTGGTGCTGAGGATCAAACCCGGGTCGCACGCATACCAGGCGAGCGCGCTACCGCTTGAGCCACATCCCCAGCCCCTTCTTGCTTTCTTTATGCTGTCTCTCACAGCAGATTTTACCCATATAGTGCAATGCAGTGTGTCTGCCCGCCCTCCCTTCCTCCCTCCCTCCCTCCCTCCCTTCCTTCCTTTTCATACTGGGGATTTTTTTTGGCACCCAATGGTGCTTAACCACTGAGCAACATCCGAAGACCTTTTTTTGTACTTCATTTAGAGACAGTGTCTCAAGGAATTGCTGAGGGACCCAAGTTGCTGAGGCTGGTTTTGAATTTGCAGTCCTCCTACCTCAGCCTCCAGAGCTGCTGCAATCACAGGCCTGCGCCACCGCCCCCTGCTGCCTGCCTTTTCTTTCATCTCCTCTGAGAGAACTTGGCCTAACACAGGTCACCTGACAGGAGGGCTGGGATGGCCTCTTGGGGGTATCGTTGGGTGGGGTTCAGTGGTTGGTGGAAAGTGGGGCCTGTCCCTGGTGTGCTGGGGCAGGATGGGTGGCGTGCCTGTGGGAGGGAGGCAGCTGAGCAGGCCTGGCCCTCATCTCCTAGACCTGGGGCCTTCCCAGTGGCTACCTGGGACAGGATCAGGTGAGGGGTGTTTCAGGAGTGGTGATCTGGCAGCCAGTTTGGAGGAAGCCTGCTGGAGCCAAGAGTGAGGCTACGGGAAACCAGGAGGTGTAGCTGGGAGCTGCAGCTGCCCCTGGCCACCAGCCACCAGAGGGAGCTGCAGACGGGAAGCCCCGTCCCTGGAGCTGCCAGGCCCCTCCCTCCCTGCTTCAGTTCCCCTAGGCAGCTGAGCCTGACGGTGGGCATCCTGCAGTCTGGGGGCTCCTGGGTGGGATCTGGGCCAGCTGAGTGTCTGCTGTCTGGGGACAGAGGGACTTGCTTTGGGTGGGGCTTACCACCACGCTGAGGCCAAGCTTGGTGTGCACTGGGGACCCCCTGGATGGCAGAAGTAGTGGACTTGCTCCTTGTTCTCACAGATGATGCTGGGGTAAAGGATCACAGAGACCCAGTGGGAGAAAGAGGTGGAATTCATCGTTTCCATCAATAATGCACTGAAATCAAAATCCCTGGGTCCCAAGCTTGGTGGCTGTGGCTCCCAGTGAGCAGGTCCTTTGGGAGCCTGACCTGCTCCAGCTAGTGTCAGGGTAGCTAGTGTCAGGGCCTCTGGAGGCTGGGCTTGAACACTTGCCCCCACAATGGGGGGTCAGGAGAAGCTGTCGCCTGGGGAGCGGGGGTGAGGGGTCCAGGAAGCCATGGTGTCAAGCTCTGGAGCATACCTGTGCATCCGGGGCCACTCAGAGTGAGGGTACCGGCAGCTGGTTGGGACAGGACAGGTGATCCTGGGATCAAGGCTGCAGCTACACGCCCTTCTGCCTAAACCCAGTCCTTCCCAGGCTTTGGAGTTAGCCTCATTGGACCTCATCCTACTTACTGTGTGACATTGGAGCAGTTACTTAACCTCTCTGCTTACAGGGGTACACAGACCACCTCTTGGTGTTTTGAGGCTGGCTGGTGCACAACCCCTACGTGCAATTATGAGGATCAAGCCTTTGCCCTGGGCCTGTGTCAGTCCAGGCTGTTTGCCCAACATGGTGCCAACCCACCCCAGGCTCCACTGGGTCCCCACCTCAGTAGGCCACAGCACATCCCCCATTTCCCTGGATCATACTGATGACCTCCCTGTGTGTCCCTGTCCTCCTGGGTTCTGTGTCCCTGTCCTCTGACTTCCCTCTTGTGTCTCCACAGCCTCAAGATGGTGCTCATGTGGACAAGCGGGGACACCTTCAAGACAGCCTACTTCCTGCTCAATGGTGCACCCCTGCAGTTCTCAGTCTGTGGCCTGCTGCAGGTGCTGGTGGACCTGGCCATCCTGGGGCAGGCCTATGCCTTCGCCTGCCACCCCCAGAAGCCAGCCCCCCACACTGCACACCCTGCCAGTGCCAAGGCCCTCTGAGGCACCAGAGACAAGACTGTGTGATCCTGGCTGTGGGCACTAGTCATCCTGTGCTCCCACGCCAGGGCGGGTGGGCCCAAGGCCACACCAGGAGCAGGCTGGGTGTGGGTGGAGGTGAAGACCTGGTGCCAGGTTCTCCACCAGCCTGCGTGAGGGGTGGGTGCTTGGGGTGGCTGGGGACAGGCCAGTCTGGCACTGCCCATGAGGACGTGGGCACGGATCTTGCACCCAGGGCTAGCTCCCAGGCATGTTCAAGTGACAGGAAACTGTCTCCTGCGTCTTCTCAGATGCACTGGCCTGACCTGAGAGGCTCAGTCAGGAAGAAGGGTGGTGGGGCTCAGCAGCTTCCCTGGGCAAGCCTGGGGAGAGGGGGCCCTGCAGACCCCGGGCAGAACCTGTGGCTGCCAGGACGGACAGCAGGCCAGGGTGAGGGTCCCGGCTGCTGGCGGCCCATCCCCATGCTGTCCCCACCTACCCGCTGCCACTGTCGCTGTGCCTGCCTGACGGGTCGCTGGCCTGACACCACCGCCATGTTCCCCCTTTCCATGCCACACCGGTGACGTGTGCTTGGCAGCCTGTGCCCATCCGGTCACTCCCTGCCCTGAGAGTTCTGGATGCTTCTGTGGACTCCCACAGGCAATGACTGCCTTCTGCCGGGCAGAGGGGCCACCCCCATGCAGAGGCCGCGGCAGGCTGTGGTCAGCACCATGCTCGTGATGGCAGGCCGCTCTGGTTGCCAGGAAGCCACAGCACAATCCCCGCCGGGCTTCCCTCGGATTCAGTGTCTGAGTGAGGCTCTTGCTTAGCTCTGTGGCTGTAAGATGCTTTGAAATGTTTATTTTTAAAAAATGAAGGTAGATGTCTGTAGTGGTAATTGCTTCCAAATTAAAATGTCACCGACCGCAGGTTCGGAGGCTGCTCATTGAATGTACCTCAGCTGGCTCCGAGTCAGACTTCTGTGTGCCTGGGTGGGGCCAGCATGGGGGTGGGGGGTAGGTGGCCTGGGAGGAGGCACTGTCGTGGTGCTGGGGACCTGTGCAGGTGCCTGTCAGTTAAGCCAGAGTTCCCACCACACCTGGATGGTCACCCCCTTTCTGCTGATTTTTGAGCTGAGGCCTGTGCAGTGAGGGGGTTGTCTGCACCAGGTAGAACACCTGGTGGCTCTGGCTCTGGCAGTGGGGAGGCTGAGGTGTGGCAGCCCCACTTGGCCTCATGGGCACAGTGCCCGGCCTCCATTCAGATGGCCTCACTGGGCCCCTGCCACCCCTGTCCTGTGGCTGGCGGCGGCCCTCCACAGGACACATGCAGAGGTGGGAATAGGTCTCTACATGGCTCTTGAGGTGGTGGAATGGCCACATTTCTCAGCTCAGCCGAGTCGCAGCTGCCCTCAAAGATTCCTACCACTTTAACAGCAGTGCCCTGACGAAGGGGTGACTCACCACTGCTCTGGCCAGACGCCGGGCAGGTGTTCATCAGAATGTGAGGAAGGGGCTGGTGGGAATCTAGGGAATTCACGCCCCCTGAAAACAGGCAGGGAACTGAGCCGGAGCCGCGGAGCCAGCCCGGAGCCCTCCTGTGAGGACAGCCATCTGGCAGCTTCAGAGCCCAGGGTCAGGCCAGAGCTCAGCGGCAGCTGTGTCCCTCCCCCTCCACTGTTCTCAGCAGAGCTGGCCAATGTCCTCTCCTTTCTGGTGACCCGGGGGCCTCTGGTGCTCCCAGCCTGGTCCTGGAGTCTCCTACAGATGCCTTTGGTCCTCTCCTGCTACTTACCTGGCCTCCCAGGACAACCACCTGGGTTTATTTCGGGGGTCCTCATGGTAAAGGTCAGCGTGCCTGCACAGCGGGAATCGTCTTGTTCCTGGAGGAGGAGGTGAGGGCTTCATACAGGCCTGATGCGTGAGGCTGCCTGGGTCTGTGTTGCCAGGTACCACCCTCTACCCCTTTCATCCTGTTGCCGTGAGGGCAGTTCACCTTGCATTGGCTCCCCAAGTGTCGAGGGACACGAGCCAGAGGGAGGAGGTTCTGGCTCTCAGGTGGACTTACCTGTTCCCTGCATTTCCTGTCCTCACCACACCTGTTCCCCATAGCATGTGGCCCAGTGGGGAGGAGAAGAGTAGCCTGCCCAGAGTACAGGAAGAGGGGCTCAGCAGCCCCAGGTCCTCACCTTCCAGACTGGCCAGGTGGCAGGTCTCAGGCCAGGGTGCCACATGTGGCTGGGCCCATCTTGAACAGTCATTTCCTCACGAAATAAGGGCATCTTTTCTTCCCTAAGCTTGTGCAAGAATCCAGGAGAAAGTGGGGAACCCTGAAGGTAGCGTGGGAGCCAGGGCTCTCCCATGCTTGCTGGCCTCTATCTGGTCTGCAGGAAACCTGCTAGGTTGCTGGGAAGACACTTATTTCAGTTTCCAGGGCCCTGGTCCTTGACTGGGGAGCCCAGGTGTTTGTGTGCATGCCAACACGTTGCTGGGGACAAGGGGGTAAGATGGGGGTTGGGAGCTAGGCTCACCCCATGCCAACCTCAGAGCCTGGGTGCAGCAGGTTATCCCAGGCCTCTCTGGCTCTGAGATGAACCATCCTGCCCTGGAGAGCAGGCGCATGTGTGTCTGGGCTCTGCCGTGGACCTAGACAGCTGGGCTTAGTGAAGGGATCTGGTGAGGTCAGAGTGTCTCTGGTGGCTCCCGCTGTTGCACCTGCCGATTCCCAGGAGATCCTTGGGCCCAGGCCCCCACTCTGGGCAGACCCACAGACTCCGGTGACATTCACCCAAGGAGCTCAGCCAGGAGTTTTCCGGGGAGGCTGCACTTTTTATTGGTTTTCAGTGGAATCTTAGGAAACATCCAAGAATCTTAGGAAACATCCAAACACCCAGAGGGTCTTGGACAGCAGGGTACCCTCCCCAGGACCTCTGCTCACCCCAGGGGTCCTGAGGAGGGTACCCTGCTGTCCAAGACCCTCTGGGTGCAGTATCTCAGGTGTGGTGGCCAAGCTCAGCAGTGAAAAAGTACAAAGTGGCATCTGGAGAATTCTGTCCTGTCCTGAGTGGACTTGCCCATGCTTTTGTGGACAGGCTGCTCTGGCACTCGTGTGCCTGCAGGAAACATTGAAGGAGCACCTGCCCCTCTTGCCCCTATACCACCACATTCTACGCCGGACTTGAGAGTGGGGAGTGTTTTCTTGTGAGGCCTTGAGAACTGTTCCAGGGGGAGATGCAGCCCCTCCATGGTGGGTGGGTGGAGGGGGCTGTTAAAACACCACATGCAAACCTGCTCTGCCACCTGCCAGGGGAGGCCCTGTCACCTGAGGAGCCAGTGTCAGGGAATGCAGGTCAGAGGTCTGGGCCCCCCACCAAAGGAGGGTTACTTAGGGAGAAGCAGGGCCTGTGAGTGCCCATGTCAAGACTCTGCCCTGTCACTCTGCAAGTGACATGGACTGGCAGTGCTGGATGTCTCCCTCCCATGGTGCACTGCCACTGTGGGTGACCAGGCAGCAGAAGGGACTTCTGTCTCCAGCTGCCCCACTCCTGCCAGGGCTGCCCTGGCCGACAGGTCAGGGTCAGACCCAGGCCAGTGTAGCTTGGCATTTGCTCCAGGTGTGGGATTTCTGGGATCCAGTGGATTATTCAGTTAGCCATAGAAAATTTAAAACCCGAGGGAAAATAGGAGGACCCAGGCTGGTGAGCTCTCCGGGAGTTACTGGGAGCCCGAAGCTTTCCGAGGCCAGTCGGTGCACTAGACTAAGCTCTGGCAGGTCTGCAGGCCCCTTCGTGGACCGCCAGCGACTGCACTTCCTGAAGCTCCAGAGCAGTACTCTCCTGCCAGCTCAGAGCGGCCCTACTGGGCCCTGTGCACCCCTGGTGCCCTCGGGGTCCTGCGAGCTGTCCTCGGTGGCGCTGGCTGAGCGCGTGCTGTCCTCGCACAGGGCGGGCTCGGGGCTGGCAGCGCGCTGCTGCTGCTCTTTGAGCTCCGAGTAGGAGCGTGAGAAGGTGTGAAAGATGGAGGTGACTGGGAAGGCCATAAGCAAGATGCCGCTGAGGATGCTGCTGAGTGCCACCACCTGCCCGGGCAGGCTGCGCGGCACCATGTCGCCATAGCCCACGGTGGTCATGGAGATAACTGCCCACCAGTAGCTGGCCGGCACGCTAGAGAAGTCGCGCCGCGCACCCAGTTCGCGTTCAGCCAGGTGCACTAGCGGCGCGAAGAGCGCCATGGCCACGCAAAGGAAGAGCAGCAGAAGTCCGAACTCGCGCGCGCAGCGGCGCACCGTGAGGCCCAGCGAGCGCAGCCCCAGCGAGTGGCGCGCCAGGCGCATCACGTAGAGCACGCGCAGCGCGCGCAGCAGCCGCAGCACCAGCCCCGCTCGCTCCAGCAGCTTGCTGCCCGCGGGCCCCGCCGCCAGGCCCACCAGCAGCGACACGTAGAAGGGCAGGATGGCCAAGATGTCGATGATGTTGAGCGGCCTCCGCAGGAAGGCGCACTTGCTCTCGGCCTGCAGGGAGCGCAGCAAGAACTCGAAGGAGAACCAGGCCACGCACACCGTCTCCAGTACAAAGAGGCTGCGGCACTTGGTGGAGCACTCACCCTGCGGAGGAGAGGGGACACGAGGTTGGGGGAGCTCGCTGCGGCCTGACCCAGCAAACTGGAAAGTCACTTAAAACCCGAACCACTTAAAGCCTCTGAAATGATGGCCAGCGGTGCCTACAAGAAAGAAAGGTCTCAAATTAATAACCCAACGTTCCACTTAAAGCAACCAGGTAGGGGTTGGGGGTGTGGCTCAAGCGGTAGCGCCCTCGCCTGGCGTGCGTGCGGCCCCATTCGATCCAATTCATTCTCTCTCTCTCTCTCTTTCAAAAAAAAAAAAAAAAAAGCAACCAGGTAAAGAAGAGTAAATAAAATTCACAAAAAGTGAAGAGGTCATAAGACTAGCACTGGAATTTGCCAGTAAACTGATGCAACTGGAGACTATCATGCTATGTGAAATAAGCCAGTCCCCAAAAACCAAAAGCCAAAAGTTCTCTCAGATATGTGGATGCTGGCTCACAATGGGGTGGGGTGTCACCAGATTGGACAGGGCACGGTGCCTGGGAGGGCGGGAGGCTGGGAATGGGAAACTTTCCTATGTTCATGGATGAGTAAATGACCAGTGTCACTCCACATCATGCTCAACCCCAGGAATGGGAAGTTGTACTCCAGGTATGTAAGATAGGTCAAAATGCATACTTAAAAAGAAAAAATCCCCCCCCCCCAAAAGAAAAGAAAAAATGAGTGCTGGAATGAATGAATAGGAGACAGACCAAAAATCCAAAACCTGATTCTTTAAAGAGATCAACTAAAGGGACACATTTCTAGCTAGTGTGACCAGGGGAGAGAGAAAACTCAAACTACTGGGATCAGAAACGAAAGAGGGGACATTGCTACCACATGGACAGGAGTAAAAGGACCGGAACACGCTGGGAAGGAGGTACCCACAAGTTGGGTAAATTCTAGAAATGGGTGAATTTATAAAGGCAAACCACAGAAATGGGCCTAGAAGGAAGCAGGTGAGGAGACTAAACTCAGGGGAGTGGACAAACTTGGGGGAGCCCAGGGCCAGAGGGCTCCACTGCTGAGCTCCACCAACTCAGTGCCAATACCAAGTCTTTACAGGCAGAGAGAGCACAGGCTCCCATTGTGGCCTGTGTTTACCAACCCGCATAAGAAAACTGCAGATGGAGTTGTTTGTCCATACCAGTGCAAGATGCTTTAAGGAGAGCAGCAAACTGAGCTCAGCAGCAGGTGAAAGTAAGAACTGGACATGAAGGACTCATCCCAGGAAAGCAAGGTTGGCACAGTCTCTGAGAGTCCATTAATGCAGTACACGGAAAATGCTTTGGACAGAATCTGACCCAGGGCCGATGTCCTACCCACAATGAGGAATCATGGCTCCTCATACCCT